GGCCCCATGATCCCCTATTGCCCAGGGCCCCATGAGTTGTCAGTCTGCCCCTAGTAGGGTCAGCATGGAATTTTGTGTCAAACGGTGGTGGTGGTGGTTTGTTGGCACTAGCAAGGTGTACCTAATAAAGTGGCCGGAGAGTGTATGTCCTCAATCCCTTTCTCTGTCTCAAAAGTAAGATATTAGGGATCTGTTTAGACCCCTGATATTAAACCAAAGCCCCCACCCCTACAGCATTATTCTCTCCACTCTGAGGACACAGAGGCTGTACAAACACAGGTCCTCATATGACAGATGTGTGTTAGAGTCCCTGAATACACACTGTCCATGTCTGGGACTATACACATGCATCCACACGACTGTCTAATCAGGACCTATGGCTGTGTTCATACAGCTGCCTGCACACAGCTCCAGCCATGTAAAAAGAAAGGGAATAAAAACCCCCAGTGATTCACACCATACAGGCCACAGCACCCATGAATGATCACCAACACCTCATTCACACACAGCTTTATTTATTAGATGAATACAGTTTTATCTTTTAGATTTAGCAGGAATTTTGTAAGTTATGTTGAGTTTGTGTCCGCTAAAAATGATTTTAGTGTATTTTTAGTGAAAATGTTTTTTTTTATATTTGGGGGAGAGGTTGGGTTTTTGACCCTATATTTATACTTGATGATCTGACCAGTAACACACTGGATGAAGGAGCACCCGTAGTACAGCAGACCGCAGCATTGTCAGTCTGGGAGAGGAGTGTTAGACTTACTAGCAGATTTAGATACACTAACAAATTGAAGCAAAACTCAAGCTCACACTGCATGTTTTACATGAACAAATAAATAAAAACTGATTAGTGTAAGCACCTTTGTCAGTGGCAAATGGTTTGTCTCATCTCTGTAACTGATACATTTGCAGAGGAGCTTGTTCTTTTGAAATACAACAGACTTACTGGCTGGACCACGAGGCAACAAATAAAGGAAATAAAGCCTAAAAAAGAAATCTAAAGCTGTCACTACATCTAAGAATTGGTTAACTGCAATGTAATACATTTTGTTTTTGGGATACCACTTTAACCACTTCCCGACCGGCCGTTGCATATAAACGGCCAGACAGTGGCAGTACAGGGTCAAGTGGCCGTTTATGAATGGCCTCCCCGCACCCTGCTTGTGCGCAGCTCCCTGGGAGTGCGCACTACCGCGATCCGGTGCCTGCTGTGTCCTCCGGACACAGTGAAACGCCGATCGTCGGACGGGACCTCTGTACGAGGTCCCGATCATGTGATCACTGATTGGCCAATCAGTGATCACATGCAAAGTAGTAAGCAAGATGTCACTTGTGACATCATTGCTTACTACGTGTGAAATCTGTGAATGATCACAGAGGTCACATGGTACAAGGCTATTCACAACAGCCTTGTACCATGTGACAAGCTGTGACCAATCACAGCTCACTCAGTACTTCTCAATGAGTGCAGGAATGCACACACAGAGAGAAAGAGAAATGATTGCTTTTACATCCTATATGGGTGTAAAAGCAATCATTGTAAAAAAAAAAAAAAAAAAAAAAAAAAATCTTCATCACCCTCCACAAGTAGTACAGTGTCACCATGGTGACACTGTACTGCTAGGGTGACAGTATGTAAAAAAAATAAAAAATAATAATAAAAAAAATAAAATAAAAATGTTTAAAAATTATAATTTTTGGTTATAAACTAATTTGTTTTTGTTTTTTTTTACTAAAAAGATAACGAAATACATTTTGGCAAAGATTTATGATGAAATATTATTTATTTGCAAAATTTTATAAAAAAAAAAACACTTTTCAAAATTTTTGGACTTTTTCATTTACATTTTTTCATTTTTCATTTTAACATTTTTTCATTTTTATTTTTTTAAAAAAAAATAAAAATCCCAGCAGTGAATAAATACCACCAAAATAAAGCTTTATCTGTCGCAAAAAAATGGTAAAAAATTAATTTGGGTACAGTGTTGCATGACTGCGCAATTGTCATTCAAAGTGTGATAGCGCTGAAAGATGAAAATTGCCCTGGTCAGGAAGGGGGTAAAAGTGTCCGGTCTGGAAGTGGTTAAAGCCCATGCAGCAGGAAGATACATCTGCAGTGAATGTTTTTGGAATGTCACATTCCCTTCTCTAGAAGTATGCCCTTCTGTCATTCCCAGTCCTAGACATGGCCGCGCTGACACCTTCCTGCTGCCTCCTGGTCTCCTACTTTCTGTGATTTAGTTGCGCTCGTTCAGGCATATAATTAAATTGTTACCACTTTATGTCACCCAGGAGCTGCGTTACACCAGTCCTGCTCTGCAACGTGAAAAACACCAAGCAATTAGAAAAATGTTCCTTCCCGAGATGAGTCTGCTCTGCCATGGGTGTTCTGGAATTTATGTTACACAGACATATTGGAACACATCCGCCCCTACTTCACACTCCATAGGACCTATTTAGGTTAGGTTATAGCTTTGTTATGTGAAAACTGTCAGCATGATGGGAGGGGGAGGGGTACAGCCAATTCTTAATGTTTAACCCTATCCCACCGCCAATCAGATCACTTAAAGTATATCTAAGGCCAACTATATATATATATATATATATATATATATATATATATATATATATATTGAATATGGAAAGGTCAAAACCCTGTAATTTTTTTTTTTTTTTTTTATTTTGCTGTCTTTATTTCCCTTAACCCCTTGAGGATCTGCCTGTAATACCCCTTCATTACCAGGCCATTTTTCAGTGCGGTGATATTTTGACTGACAGTTACTCGGACATGCAACTCTGTACCCAAATGAATTTTACACCATTTTTTTTAAGACCGATAAAGCTTTCTTTTTGTGGTGTTTAGTAACCACTGGGGATTTTTTTTATTCTACAAAGGTAAAAAGAACAAACATCTGTTAAAATACCAAGACAGTAGGAAAACCCTCCAAATGACCTCCTTTTAGAAAGTAGACACGACCCCCCAATGGGAATATTATTTATGACACGTTTTGGAAATGAAGAAAAGTATTGGTGCCAGGGTGGTAAATATTGGGGCTTGATAATGATGCGCTGGATGCAGAGTATATATGTCATACACAGAGGGAGGAGATGGAAAGGTTCATGTACAAGTTATATATAGTGGGAGTATGGCAAAGAAGGGGTTAATGTATAAAACAAGGGAGGTGAAGGGGTAATATATAGCTCACATGGTATTATACTGTATATAAATGGGGGATCAGTGGGGGGGGGGGCTGTTTTTAGAGTTAAATCCCCCTATGCCTCCCCTGCATCACTCAGGTGCTACAGGCGAGGAGAGATGGAGAAGTCAGCAGCTGCAGGGGAGCCACAGGGGGCCGATGCTGCATGGAGAAGGCACATAATAACGGGGGGGGGGGGGGGGGGGGGGGCATTTTGGTGCACAGGTAGCGTGGCGGAAGCTCCTCTATGTTCACAATGAGCACAGGGCCTGTGTGCACCGTATACATGGATGATACATATATATTCATGGAGAGACAGTGTAGAGATTGGATGTATAGGATAGATTTGGGTGGGGGGAGGGGTGAAAGGATCTCTTTGACCAATCACTGCATTCATAATGTACAGAGCTGGCTAGATCTACTCTGTACTCGGTGTGTGTGAATGGAGCTGTCTGAGGGTAGCTCGATGACACTAATTGCTAGAATTGATGGTGCTTGATCCAGAAAAGTGGTTTAAGCTGACCTCTACACTTCCCTTCAGTCTTCCACAGTTGTACAGGATCCTCTCCTGTACTGAAATTACTTACTCTGATGTCACTGCACACTGCGAGCTACTCACCATGTGCATTACAAGCTGTAGCTATTCAAATGGAACCCACCTCACTTCCTGGCTGGAGGACATCCAGCGTCATTTAGCGCTTTGCTCTCCAGCCATACTGTCCCCCATAACTTCTCCCAAGAGCCAGCCCGCTGTTTGTTTCAGAACTGAGGGTTCTTGAGATGAGTACTAAAGCAGGGTGCTGTGATGTTTTCAGGAAAGTATGTACAGTACCCTGCAGGTCCTCCCACCAGCCATGATCTGCCAGCATTTCATAGAGAATGGCAGAGACCTAATGATAATGAAAACAGGTTTTATTTAAAAACATCATTAACATGTTTATGAGAGCAGGAGGGCGGAACCAGAGAAGGCAAAATATCACAGATTTAACTGCCCTTCCTATTCACACAGGAAATCCTCTCTCTGTCAGTTGTCACCAGAAGACGTGTTCCAATCTGAAGATTTTTCCTCTATTCTTGTTTTTGCAACAAGTCAGATTCTGGGATTTCCGCTTCCTTCCAATCTGATTGGGATCACAGTCAGCAACAAAAAGCTGATGGAAGATTCTTATCTTAGTCTTTTCATTGCTCTATTCATAATGTATTTTATACAAATCCTTCTAGATAACCCGAGATCTGACTCTAAACGTTTTTCTCAGTCCCTACAATGACCTTGTAGTCCCTGAGCCTAAACCTGACCATAGCAGCTGATGACCTGCTCCCTACGGTTAGCTTCACATTATTGTATGTTAGGAATGTGTGCACAATGGTGTGCGTTTCCAACATGCGAGGGAAATGCGACGCTCTTTAGACTATGCAAAGATAAAATGCCCGCATATTTAGGTGCAAAACCACATGGCGCTACAGCCCCGTGTGATTCCATGTGACTTGATTTTAAAAATTGGTTAGGGACTTACCCATGATTCTGCAGCAGGGCAACCCATTAAAGTGTTCCTAAACCCAGGACCCTGCATTCACTATATCTGGTCTCCCACAGTACACACAACATGGAAATGCAATTATTTTAGTAAATATAAACTGCTACATACCTTCTCATCAGCAGTTAGAACGGTCTTGTAACTTCTATCAGTGTCTAGCTGAGCACTGGTTAAAGCTTGTAGGAGAAGTTTTCATTCTGCTCTAGGAGGATGCAGAAACCTTGACCTCTGTCTGGACAGTGCTGATTGACCCTGTGCTGATCACATGCATTCTCCCAAAAAAAACAAAACATTCTCTAGCAATACAAACCAAACTGAGCATGTGCAGAGTGACGCCACACGATGTCTTATCAGGAGATAAGAGGGGGACACTGGAAGAAGGGGAGGATCAGAGAAGACAGGATCAAACAGCTTTTTCACACAATGCAGAGGATTAACCCCTTAGGTTCTACAGTGAGTATAACAAACATTCTTTACTGCATATACAGACTGATTTTACTGTTGTGGGTTTAGTAATACTTTAAAATGAATGGACTCCCCCACCCGCAGAATGCAGCCCACACACGTGTGAACCAAGTGTAACAGTAACTTAACCCCTGAAAGTCTATACTTACCTGATCGGCAAAGGATCCTATCAGCCCCAAATCAGTAGGAGTGCCAATAAATACTGTCCCACAGTAAAGGGAAGGGCTGAATAATTTATGGTATGAACTTCTCCTTGCCTGATGTGCCAATTGTCAGATTTAAGTCATAATTTAACCCCCTGATACCCATCCTGTGGCCCCTTGGTATATGATGTGCGGCCCTGAGACTTCAGCCATCTGTAGAGGGAACATTGATTAGGGTTATAGCCAGGGCTTTTTTTCTCAGCGAATAGGTGCAGGTACTCACAACATCTGAGTCACCCCTTGTCTCTGACCCCTACCCACCCCTGAGCATTGTCCCCTGGTTTCTCCCCCCCCCCCCCCCCGTCCCAGTACCACCCTTTTAGAGAATACAGGTCTAAGTATAATATTGTGGTGCTAAGTAATTTGTATGGAATGTATTAAAGTGATTGAGAAAAAATAACATGTCTCTACTTAGCTGCTGTGTGCAGTGTTTTTGCATAGAGCAGCCCAGATCCTCCTCTTCTTGGGTTTCCTGCAGGTTCTCCTGGCTCCTTCCTCCTGTCGGGTGCTCCAACAGTAAGCAGCTTGCTATGGGGGCACCTGCTGCTCTTGTGTGTCCATTCACATATGGAGCCACAGCTCAGCCCCCCACCCCCTCTCTCTTCTCACTGGCTTACTGGCTGTGATTGACAGCAGTGGGAGCCAATGGTTTCCTGCTTCTGTCTCAGCCAATGAGGAGAGGGAGTCCCAGGATAGCCGAGACTCCAGTGCACACTGCTGGATTGAGAGGAGGGTTGGGGGGATGTGGCACAGAGAAGGTTTTTTACCTTCATGCATTCAATGCATGAAGGTAAAAATTCTTGAGCCTTTACAACCACTGTAATGATAACAAGAAAAGCAGTAACATGGATCCCCTGCAGCCAGAAATAATAAATCTGGCCATAACAGACCCCCTGCAACAATAAAGACCCCAGCAACTATAGACCCCCGCCAGCAACCATAGATCTCCCAGCAGCCAGCAACCATGGACCCCTCCCTCAACTGTAGATCCCTCACAGCAACTGTTGACCCCCAACCAACAAAAACTGCCCCCCAACAATAATAGATCCCCCATCGACAATAGATCCCTAGCTGCCAGCATCAATATACCCTCCAGCACACCTCAGCACCCCTTGCCATTATTTACTTTCAGTGATGTTCCCACTTTCATACTGTCTTCTGAAGCATATCTCAAACCAAAAATGTAGCATGTCCACACTCTTTGACCCTCTATTAGGTATGCAGTTTATGACAGTCCTCTCAAGCATTACATATACTGAACATTATGTGTGGCTCTTTGGTGATGTCAGGGGCCACATTTGAGGCCCCCTTTAGCTCAAAAGTTGACAACCACTGCTTTAACCTGACCAGCATTTGTAAGAAATGTCTTCATACCGCACTCCAATAGATAAAGCATTAGGTACAGGGGCGAACTGACAACTCATGGGGCCCCCGGGCAATAGGGGATCATGGGGCCCCTGTGTCCTTGCCCAAACTCAAAAAAGCCTATGAAAAAGGTATCAGGGGCATCTCATGGGGCCCCCTACTGACCCGGGCCCTCGGGACAGTGCCCGAGTTTCCAAATGGTCAGTCCGCCCCTGATTAGGTATGGAAGTGACAGCAGGCACCCTAAAGATGGTCTTGCAATGAAAAGAAACCAAAGGAGGTTTCTCAGAAAATGTGTAGTAAGGAGAGGGCTGGACTGCTGCTGCTCCTGCCAAAAAAAAGGCTTTAGATACCTCCTACTCCCCGCATGCTACACGCCTCTCTGTTGGGCATCATCCCTTGAAATCCACAGGAAAACTGTCAATTCAAGGAGTGCCGATCTTCTTAGTCCCTGACAGCATCATAGAGATCATCAGTATAATAAGAAACTAGGGAGAGGTGTGGGCAATAAGGAGACTGACACTCCTTTGAAATTTCCCTCTCCCAGCAGACTACAGTGGACAGTTTCTGATCAAAGGAGAGGCTTCAGCAAGGCAGATAGCCCTTGAGGCCATTTGAGGGCCACACACAGCTCTCAGGGATGCATGGTGGGGGTGGCACTAAGACTGGAGTCTGGAGTGTCCATCTCGGACACTCTGTCCCCATTGCATGTTCAACACTCAGAGCCCACAGTGTCTGTACCATAACAACCAATGTTACTGTGCATCCTGGGTGTCAGCATCCTAGCAACCAATAATGTTACATGACCCGGCCACCTGCATCCTAGCAACCAATGATTCTGTGCAGCCTTGCCACCAGCAACAACTGATACTGTACAGCCCAACCATCCGCTTCCTAACGACCAATGACCCTGTGCGACCCAGCTGCCTACTTCATAGCAACCAAAAAAAGCTGTATGGTCAAACTTCCACTCTATCCCCATTTCATGTTCAACCCTCAGAACCCACAGTGTCTGTACCATAACAACCAATGTTACTGTGCATCCTGGATGTCAGCATCCTAGCAACCAGCCGCCAGCATCCAACAACCAATGATGATATGCAGCCCTGCCAGCATCCAACAACCAATGACACCATGCAGACCAGCCGCCAGCATCCAACAACCAATGACGCTGTGCAGCCCTGTTGCCAGCATCCAACAACCAATGACACCATGCAGACCGCCGCCAGCATCCAACAACCAATGACGCTGTGCAGCCCTGTTGCCAGCATCCAACAACCAATGACACCATGCAGACCAGCCGCCAGCATCCAACAACCAATGACGCTGTGCAGCCCTGTTTCCAGCATCCAACAACCAATGATGCCATGCAGCGCAGCCGACAGCATCCAACAACCAATGATGACATGCAGCCCAGCGCCAGCATCCAACAACCAATGACGCCGTGCAGCCCAGCCGCCAGCATCCAACAACCAATGATGACGTACAGCCCAGCCGCCAGCATCCAACAGCCAATGATGATATGCAGCCCTGCCGCCAGCATTCAACAATCAATGACGATATGCAGCCCTGCCGCCAGCATTCAACAACCAATGACGCCATGCAGCCCAGCCACCAGCATCCAACAACCAATGATGACATGCAGCCCAGCCGCCAGCATCCAATAACCAATGATGACGTGCAGCCCTGCCGACAGCATTCAACAACCAATGATGTCGTGAAGCCCTGCTGCCAGCATCCAACAACCAATGATGCCGTGCAGCCCAGCCGCCAGCATCCAACAACCAATGATGCCGTCCAGCCCTGCCGCCAGCATCCTAGCAACCAATGAAGCTGTGCAACCCAGCCACCAGCATCCAACAACCAATGATGCTGTAACGCCCAGCTGCCTGTGTCCTATCAATCAACTATGGAGGGAACATCTTACTCCTCAGGTGGAAGCAGGGAGCAGCTTTAATTTACAGCTTTACTTTAATTTGAAAATTAAAACTTGGTCCATGTCTGTTTTGACTTGTAACCTGAAATACTTCAATAAAAATATATTGAATAAGTGAAAATTAAAACCTGCACAGAAAGAATGCTGTAGACTACTATTCCACCTTTGACCTCTTTCTAAAAATTCAAGCTTCCCTTAGGATATTTAAAGGGAAACACTACAGTATATATACCCACCTTCCTAGCTGTGGGCACTATAAAGCAAAACCTGAACAGCAGGGGTACGCTATTCTATAAGAAAACAAATCGAATGTAAAAAATTATATTTCTAGTCAGGTACAGAAACTGTGTACATATCTGAGAGCGTGATTAATAGCCTATATGAAAGTCAGCCTGTATTTTATATTGTAGATTTATTAGCTCTATATGGTGCATTTTATCATCTTAGTTTGGACACACAATAAACTTAACCCTCCAAGGCATTTATTACTCTGGAGGCTGGTTACATTTAAAAATGATTCATAACAAGTTTTATAACAAGTATAAATGTGTAACTTCCTCTAAAATGATTTATTATTAGTCAATTCCATAAAGCTATCTGCATTAGAATATTACCGCTAGTCATACAGCTGAGGAGTAGACCAGAGTTTGAAGGCTTTATTTGGGAGGTTTGTATACATCGATCTTATGGGAACTATAGTGAACATTCTCTGTTACACTAATAGATAGATAGATAGATAGATAGATACATACATACATACATACATACATGCACATGCATACACCTCTATAGCTAGAGGAGCAGGGGTTGAATATTTAGGACTGCTCTGTTACTTCATCCTGTCTTCTAAAGGATTCTAGAATCCTATTGGGAGGGGTAACAGAGGATGCAGCCTGAATATATATACAGGTGTACCTTGGTTTACAAATTTAATGCATTCTCCAGGACATTTCATATTGCAAAAAATTTGTAAACTGAAACACAGTTTCCCGTAGGAATGCATTGAAAATCAATTAATCCATTCCGGAGGTCCGAAAAACGTTTTAAAAAAAGTCGCTGTCACAATAGGTCAGTGCCGGTTTTTAAATGTAATTACCGGCTTTTTTATTTCTTCACTATAGCTCAGAGAATCAGCTGTCACTTTCCCCCCAGATAAAAGAAAGAAAGTTTCCTTTTAGTTTATTTCCCCAAGTTAAAAGAAACAATGTTTCCTTTTAGTTTGTTTCCCGAGATAAAAGAAACAAAGTATCCTTTAGCTCCAGGGAAAGTGACAGCTAATTCTGTGAGCTATAGTGAAGGAAAAAAAAAGCCAGAAATTGCATTTACAAATCGGCACCGACATACACTTAATATTGCGAAAAAAAATTTGTAAACCGAGGCATTATTTTCAATGAATTTTCATTCGTAAACCAAAAATTACATAAATCAAGGCATTTGTAAACTGAGGTACACCTGTATATGGAACTCTAGCCAATCCCTGGGGAGGTGTGCCCAGTAAGTGGTTAGCAAGCCATTAAATAGTCTGAGGCTTGAGCAGCAGGGTGCAGGGTTCCTGGGTCCAGTCCTGCAGGAGGAGTCTCCTGGAGCAGAATACTAGGAGAAGCCAGAAGATACTAAGGTCCCAGCTAGTCTTAGCTGGGGTCCTATTTGCAGGCTTATGTCCAGGGATCAAGTTGGATCCAGCTGTCCTATGGTGGTGTCACTGTCTACATTTCCTTCACTAGGAAGAGCCTGGTGGATATTGGCAGGAGGCAACCGATGATCCCGTGGCTGTGTGAGTAAATGACCCCAGTGCTGAAGAGTTAGTGACTGTATATAGCTTTTAAACTCTGGAAGGAGTACTAGTCACCATCGGCATAGAGATCCTGTGGGCTATTCCTTTTTGTACAATGCAGCGAGAAAGGAGTCCTTAGGTAATTCAGTTGTTCAGTTTATTAGACCATCCCATGCTCCGTCGTCTTATCCAAGATCAGCATTCCCAATGAAGACCCAAAAAGAAACCCCTAGACCATAGGTGTCAAACTGTGGCCCTCCAGCTGTTGAGGAACTACAACTTCCATCATGCCTCTGCCTTTGGCAGTCATGCTTGTAACTGCCAGCCTTGCAATGCCGCATGGGATTTGTAGTTCTGCAACAGCTAGGAGGGCCACAATTTGACACGCCTGCCCTAGACTGTTCATTGGAGGCAGTGGAAGAGTGCGGAAAATTCTGCATGCCTGGCTGTGTGTGCTGTTAGGGGGAAATAGGACTAAATTCCCCTTCGGCTCTTTAGTGGGTGTGTTACTTATAATAAAGTATTATATCGTGTTTGGGTTGTGTTTTGGGGTTGCATTAACTGAGCAGCTCTGACTGCACAGCACAACACCTGAGTGGTTTTTCTTCCTGTCAATAAGTAAAGAAAAACAGTATTTTTATGGTTATAGACTAAATGGCAACCCCAAAGACACAACAATGAGCATTTATAGTGACTGTAGGCGGCCTGTAAAATCAAGATATATCAGGCTGATGCGCAATCTCCTACCAAAATGTTATCTACAGGTACAGCAGTCAGATTTCCCTTAAGGCTCGTTAACAGCGGAAATGTTTAAAATGTTTGGAAATAATTCTTCTTAAAGGGAACCTGTCATTATTATAATGTGAGTAAACTGATAATGGGAAGGAAATGCAGTCACCTGGCACTGTTTGAAAATGTCTGAATGTATCTTCTAAAGCAGGGGTGGGCAACTGTGGCCCTCCAGCTGTTGGTGAACTACAAGTCCCATCATGCCTCTGCCTTTGGGAGTCATGCTTATGACTGTCAGTTTTGCAATGCCTCATGGGACTTGTAGTTCTACAACAGCTGGAGGGCCACAGTTGCCCACCCCTGTTCTAAAGCATCGCATGAGCCACAAATCCTACAGGGGGAAGGAAAATAACGCAAATACCAACTTAATATAAAACCTTGACAGTTGAGTCAACTCATTTCACTTAGATAAAAAAAAGCAGTCACAAATACCAAGCCACTGACAGTGATTTAAACCACCTGTACAAGGGGAAGGGAATTCTGAATATATGACCTTTTGGGGGTACTTGAGGACTGAGGTTTGGAACCATTGCATTAAGGGTGAGAGATGGTACTAAAGTGTCACATTTATTTAAAAATAATTCAGGTGAACTATAAACATTGCATTCATTTAGAACAGTGGTTCTTAACCTGGGTTCGATCAAACCCCAGGGGTTCAGTGAGTCAGTCTCAGGGGTTCGGCGGAGGTGAAGACCCACACCCGACTCATATGATTCGTGCAGTAAATATTCATTATTATGTTTTTGTTTTTGTGTGAAAATCATGTTTTAATGGTTTTGTTCTTAACGGTTTTGTTCATTTTGTGCACCTATGTATAAACAATACCTAAATATATACCTATGTTTTGAATTTTAAAAATCATATTTTATTTTTCCAATTAAGAAGGGTTCTGTGAATGCGCATATGAAACTGGTGGGGTTCAGTACCTCCAACAAGGTTAAGAACCACTGATTTAGAACCTTTACTCTAGAGCCTTACCTGCTTCTTTTCTGGAGATAGTGAGTCAAGTTTTGTTCTGGCTACTAAATGGAAGATATGGCTGGCAGTATATCTCCGATTTGTCTTTGTGTTGTCATAAGAAAATCATCAGCCATGGTAATATTTATTGTGTATCTACAGTACAGCACTTTTCTCCCTGCTTTTATAACTGCTGATTGGACACATAATGAGACAGCCACCTTGGGCATTACTCAGTAGAATATACTGGGGTCACATTTAGACAGGGGCCAGTTAACCTACCAGTATGTCTTTGGAGAATGGGAGGAAACCCACACAAGCACAGGGAGAACATGCAAACTCCATGCAGATCGTGCCCTGACCTGGGACTAGAACCAAGGATCATGGGAGGAAACCCACACAAGCACAGGGAGACCATTCAAACTCCATGCAGATATTGCCCTGGCCTGGGACTTGAACCAAGGACCATGGGAGGATACCCACACAAGCACAGGGAGAACATTCAAACTCCATGCAGATAGTGCCCTGTCCTGGGACTTGAACCAAGGACCATGGGAGGAAACCCACACAAGCACAGGGAGAACCTGCAAACTCCATGCAGATCATGCCCTGACCTGGGACTTGAACCAAGGACCCCAGTGCTACAGTCCAAGCATACTAACCACTAAGTATCCCTTCAAACATGCAGTGGTCTTTGATAGGGGAAGCCTATCATTCTTTCATTTGATGTCATGCTCTCTGCAGACGTCTTCAATGATCCAATCAAATAATCACAGGCATGGCGGCTCTGGAGAGTTCACAGAGTATTGTGGCAAGGAATTAAAAATGGAACTCTTCTGGCAGTTTTTGAAATCATAGCAGTCATTATGAGAGTTTCCACGACCTAATTAGTTTTGTATTTGTCTTATTTTATTGAGAATATAATAGAAGGAGCTGGAACACTCAAAGGTGGGAGGAATAGAGGCTCCACCTATAACTAAAACACTTTGGGGTGGTCTTTGGTCTTTTAATAAAATTGCTTTACTTGATAATTATAACTGGCTGGGACTGACTGAGGTTTGAAAAAATAATAACAATAATAATAATAAAAAATAATTTTTGTACCTCATTGAGATGGGATATCAGCCAATCCCAACCAGTTGTAATCATCATCAAGTAAAGGTTGACCTTGGAAGCAAAGTGAACGGTATTGCCAGACACTGATGTTCTGCAAATTATAGCCAGTTTGTATGTTTACTTTGTACAATTCTATGAAATCACACAAAATGAATACTATAACCCAACTGATTGCCATTTTAAAATATTGCCACTAGATGGAACTAAAGGTCCAGAGTTGACCAGCAGTGTGTGATCACCAACCTCTTGCTGTTCAGCAATTGTAGAACTACAAACCCTACAGTATGGATGTGATGGCCGAACCACATTATAGACTCCACACCTCAATTAAACAGGGATAAGCAGCAGAGAAAACACAAGATCCCTTGCTTGCGATTGCTGATGCATATATTAACCACATCAGGCCCAGTTCAATTCTGACACTTCTCACATACAGTATATATAAAAATCAGCTTGGTTTTGCTAGAACATTACTTAGAACCCCCAAACAATTTATGTATATATATATATATATATTAGCAGAGGTCCAAGAGAATAAAATGGTGGGTATTGCAATGTGTTATGTCACACAGTATTTGCCCGGCTGTTTTTTCAAACTATTTTTTTAGGGAAAAGTGCACTTTAATGAATTTTAATACACAAAAACTCAATATCATATCAAATTGTTTTGTAAACTAGAAAAGATGATGTTACAACGAGTAAACAGATACCTAACATGTCACAGTTTAACATGGCACATGTACCTAAAAATCACAGTACCTAAAAATCTTCATAGGTGATGCTTTAAAAACATTTACAGGTTGCCAGTTTAGGTTTACACAGGAGGTTTGGTGCTAGAATTATTTGCTCTCACCATAATATTCATGGAGATACCTCACATGTGCGGTAGGAACATTGTTTACATATGTGTGCATGACCTACATATGCGTTCCCCTTTGCACGCGAGCACGGGGGGGGGGATGCTTTTTAAAAAATTATTCTATTTTATTAGTTATTTAATTAAAAAAAAAAAATTTTTTCACACTGTCTCTTTATTTTTCAAATCACTTTTGATAGCTAGAACAGTGACATATCCTTTTTATGGAGATATATGTGGTCTATAATACTCCAGATCTCTCCTCTGCCCTTAAAAGCATCCGATCAAACCATGATTGGATTGATAGATGCTTTCACAAGCTAGTAATGGCTTGTGCCAGCAAAACTGGAAGCGACAAAATACTCGATGCTTCAGTTTCTTATACTATAGAAAAAAGGGAATGTTCTGCTCTTCATTCATCTCTATGGTCAGCCGGAGAAACCACTAGCTTCAGTCCCGCGCTCTCTAGTGGGACAAATTGGCTGGGATGGTGGCAGGAAAAGGGGAACCCCTTCTGCCACCTGTAAAAGTGATCCAGTGGCTAATTAGCTGCTAGGATTGCTCTTACAAGCCCATCACCAGTTGAAAAAAAAGATACCCCTGGGCTGATGTCTGTAGCTGCAGCCATCATCTTGGTATAAGCAGGGCCGTCTTTAACGCAGGGCAAAAGGGGCAGCTGCCCCGGGCCCAGTCAGTGTTGGGGGGCCCAAAGAAGCTGTCCCTTGAGCCCGCGATGCCCAGCCCACAAATAGTTTTCCCAACCAGGGGTGGACTGACCAATCAGGCACACAGGCACTACCCAAGGGCCCGGGGTCAGTAGGTGGCCCCATGTCATCCCCTCCCCTGGCTCCTCCCCCTCTTCTCGGATCTCCTGCCTGACATGTGAAGAGCCCACCTGGGTGATGCCTGCTGCAGCTCCCCGATCTGCTCTCCATGATGGACTACAGTCAGGCCGGTCTTTTCGGATAACTGTAGAACTTACTTGAGCTGGAGATCACCAAAATGCCAGTCCGCTGGAGCCTCAAGGTATAGCATGACGTCATCCACATGACACTGACAGCACCCTGTAACATCAACCCCTGACCAAGGATGCCCCAAAAAACACTGCTGAAGGCCACCCGTGACGTCACACACAGTTCCGAAGATATGTATGCCATTCCACCAGCAGATGATGCCACCTACTGACCCCATGCCATCATCATTATCCTAATCATCATCCCCCTGTACCTGACATCCTTCTCCTTATCATCATCATCCTCCTCTTCCATCTACCTGGCATCCTACCCTTTGTTATCATTATCCTTATCTAAATCCACCCTCTACCTGGCATCCTACCCCCTGTCCTCCATCCTCCTGTACCCCACCTCTGGCATCCTACCACCCTACCTCCTGTCATCATTATCATCATCCCTCCTCTACTCCCCTCTCATTATAGGGGAGATATGATCTCAGCTTCTCACCCCAAAGCTGCTACTATTACCCCAAACTGCATCCTGCCATCCAACCAACTGTATCCCAACATCCTATCACCCTACCCCCTATCATCATCATCCTCATCCCTCCTGTACCCCACCTCTGGCATCCTATTACCCTACCTCCTGTCATCATCATCCTTATTCCTCCTGTACACCACCTCTGACATCCTACCACCCTACCTCCTGCCATCATCATCCTCATCCCTCATGTACCCCACCTCTAGCATCCTACCACCCTACCTCCTGTCATCATCATCCTCATCTCTCCTGTATTCCACTGCTGATATTCTATCACCCGACTCCCCTCTCATTATAGGAGAGATATGATCTCAGCTTCTGACCCCAAAGCTGCCACCATCAGCCCAAACTGCATCCTGCCATTAAACCAACAGCGGCATCACACACCACAGTATTGACCTGCCCCCTAACTATCAGTGACATTACCTGCCATCTAACTGACATCTTGGTATTCCAATGGGGGTATGGGGGCTGGTCATGTATTGGGTCTCCCATTACAGTGGGGTATATATAGAAGTATAATTATGATTCCCAAAACTTTACAGTGGCCTCCCCCAATGATTTATTGTTATTAGTTCTGTATTTGTTTCTCATTACATGAAACCACTTCTCCATCAGTGAGCATTAATGATGTGCAGTAACCTCTAGCATCCAATCAGTGAGTGATAATGATGTGCAATAACCTCTAGGAACCAATCAGTGAACAATAATGATGTGCAGTAACCTCTAGCAACCAGTCAGTGAGTGGTAATGATGTGCAGTAACCTCTAGCAACCAATGGGTGAGTGGTGATGATGTGCAGTAACTTCTAGCAACCAATAGGTGAGAGGAAATGATGTGAAGTAACCTCTAGCAACTAATGAGGGTGAGTGGTGCAAGCAATTAATGTGCAAT